CCCAGCTCAGCAGCCACCACGGTGACCCCGCCCCCAACGGCAGCCACGCCCATCGCCAGCCGAGACTCGGAAAGCGAGAGCTCGCGGGGGGAGTTTCCCAGCTTCCATCCGGTGGACCTCGCCCTTAAGGGCAGCCAGGGAGACAAAGTCAACTCCTCGTCCGGCTTCCTTCTGGGCCTGGTGCACCCCAAGGCTGAGTTTGACCCCGATGAGGAGGGGGAGGACTCCCCAGAGGGGAAGGACACACCCCTTTTCCGAACGCCGTCCCTCGATGGCGACAAGCCACATCCTTCCAGCCAGGCAGCCGGTAGTGAGCTCTCCTCCCTGCCGTATGACAACTACCATATGAAGCAGTTCCTGGAAGCGCTGCTGCGGGGCGGGGTCGACCAACGCCGTGAGGAGCTGGTGCAGCACTTCGCCCAGAGTTTGGGCGGAGGGGTAGGGGGTAGCCGCGTAGATGAGGGGCTGGGACTGGGGGGGTCCTCTATCATGGAGATCCAGAGCGACTGGTATGGAGAGGACACAGGTGAACACCCTGTAACGGTCAAATGTATATGTCATGGCAGTAAGACATGCTGTTTAGGTTGGCCATACGTATGACCATCTCAGTGACGTCCATTTTCCTCTGTGCGCTGCAGCGCAATTATTACACAATGATGACACATGCTTTTGTGAAGCAGTGGACTTTGCCATGAATTTGTTTCTAAGAATTGGGATTCATCCCTGAGCCTAACACTTTTGGCCCAGTGCTTTCAGCATGTTTCAAGGTGGAGGTTAAGTGAGGTACTGGTAGGTTCTTGTTGGAGGTGTGCGCTGTACAGCTAAGGTTTCAGGTAGTGTGCTTGGATCGTAGGCTTTGCTGAGAAACTCTGTGGGCTTCAGGTTTGCTAACATGTTATTATCTGCGTGGGTGGGGATCTGCTTGTTTGCAGTTCTGGATTAGGGTAGCCAGGGTATTACTGACATTTGCAGAGGAGCTGAGTGAGATTGTAATTGGTTATTTGTTTGCTTTGTGTGGGTGGATGTAAACTGGTTGGGTTATACTGGCAATGTGAGGCGTGTGATTGTTATTCATATCCACAGAAGGTGTTTTTTTATGGAGTTTGACATTATTTCTTTCCCTCAAAATTTGTTTTGCCCCAGGGGAGCCATACTTTCAATGGTTGTCAGTTTCTGACCAGAGTATTGTTCACTGCAGCAGATTGGGAGATGGGAGAGTTTGCTAAAAACAGAGCTGTTTTATCCTGCTCCTGATATAAAACGGACAGGTTTTTCTCCCGGTAAGGCTGCCAGCATTGCGGAGAGCAGTTTCCTGGTTGCTCTCCTGTCTGCCTGTGATATTGCTTCTGACTTATTTCTAAAGCAGTCGTTTTTTTTTTTTTTTTTTTTTTTAATAAAAAAAGAACTGATGAACTTTACCTGGTAAAACTAGCCCATGATGTGGCTCTCAGGAACAAGGCTTGGGGTTTTTTTATTTTTATTTATTTATTCCTGTAGATTTCTTCTCAAACTGGACTGTGTAAAGTAGTCCCAAAATATGTTTTTAAAAAGTCACACAAGTATGAAAAATCACCAGTTCACATGTCTAAAAGTTTTTGCTTTGACATCTTTGGACATCTTTGCTTTGGAGTCCATTTGAATATGTGTTGCGTCACCTTTTGGTATGTTATTCATTTAACTTTTTTTATTTAATTGGATGACAACATGTCCTTTCCAAAACCATTTCCATGAAGGATTTAGCACTGAAACAAAAACACGAGCATTTTTATTAAATGACTAATGAAAGTAATTACAGAACTGGGGGTGAAGCCAGGGCGGTTGAACTGGCTGCCCACTGCAGACTAATTTGGCGATGTGGTGAGGCGCCTCGCTCCTGCCTTCGCTGACCTCTGCCGCGTGTGCGTGTGCTCCCCCAGGTGACGGGCTGGTGGTGCCCGTGAAGCTGCACCGGTGCCCTTTCTGCCCCTACACAGCCAAGCAGAAGGGCATTCTGAAGAGGCATATCCGCTGCCACACTGGCGAGAGGCCGTACCCCTGCGAGACCTGCGGCAAGCGCTTCACACGGCAGGAGCACCTGCGCAGCCACTCCCTGAGTGTGAGTGCGCAGCCGTGAGCGTCTGCATGCGTGCTTAGGGACCTTCCTCTGATCACCCACCCCCCTTCCATTGGCACAAAAGGCCAGTCTGTCATGTGATCTCTGTAGGTAGCAGAGGCTTGTACTACTGAGAGGTGTTTACATTCTTCTCTAGCAAATAGGCTCTGAATTATTTCCTCAATGAAGCAAATTCAGCCTCCCTCTTGGCATAGAGGTTGCTAATTTTAAGAGTGAAAAAGCAGCCCTTCAGGCCCAAAGATATGCTGTCTAATCTCGCATGTTTCCTCAACAGCAGAGTCAGTGTGTACAATGTGCAAATAAATTTTATATATTTTTGGTAGAGGTTAGTAATTATTTTTGAATCGCGGCTGAGACTACGGTAGCTGATTAGGCTATTACTATCGACAATTTGAACATTTGCATGTCATTATTAAATATTTTACTACTATTTTGCTCATTTTCTTTATCTATTTCTATCAGTTACTATGGGGAAACTCTCAGGGAAACATTTCTTTGCCTACATATACCGCTAATTGTTGTACTGTCACACATTTGATATTGTAGTGCTGTGTTTCTCTTAACAGGTACATCGTTCCAACTGGCCAATCGTGTGCAAAGGCTGCCGCCGCACCTTTACGGGGGTGGTGTCCCACGGCCTGAAGCGCTTCGGCCTCTGCGACAGCTGCACCTGCGTCACCACCACCCATGAGGACTCCACCCCCATAAACCTCAGCAGCCAATCCGAGGGCACGGAGCGCAGCGAGGGCGACGCCGATTGGCCCATCTACATGGACGATGCGGAGGAGGCCGAAGCCAGCGGCGAGGCCGACAACACAGAGGACAAACGGGAACTTCGGAGGCAGCTCTCGGAGAGCGACGGGCTAATGTAGTGGGACAGGAGGGAGAAGTGGACCTTCCTCTTTCACGAACCTGAGATAGAGAACAGGCAGATACCAGGGTCACTCTGACATGAGTGAATGTGGTCCCCTTCCTGCCTACAGAAGGAGCAAAGCAGGTCCATGGCTGGTTCCTGACTCCTTGTACCACTTCGCTTGGAGCTTCAGTGTCTGCGCTTCGGGGCGGTCAGACCGGCTCAGTCCAAGCAGCCGTGGGTCTCCTTGCGAAATACAAACGCAGGGACATATCATTCCGTTTATAATCTGTATGTACAGTGGCCGTTTTGAGTGGGAATTAAAGTGATCATGTCTATGGCCTGTCTATCAAGCTTGTGTGTAAATATTAGCAAGGAATGGGGTCACAAGCTTTTAGTGTGACTCGGGTTGGAGAGAAGTGCCCTTGTGAGGTGAGTCCCTCTCTGGATGCAAACAATACGGCAAAATGTGTAAATAGGATGAATACCAAAGTGGAGGTGTTTTTGTGGGGGGGGGGGGGGATGATTTCAGACTTCAGTTAGGTGGATGATGTACACATCTATTGTTTCCCTATTGTACACAATATGCATTTTTTTTTAGTGTTTTGCATTTTTGTCCAATACTTTTTGTATGGTATATATTTATATGTGATGTTTTGCTGCACACTATGTATACATATAGTTTTGTTTCATTTTCCAATGTTTTGAGATTATGACAAGTTTACAACAATTAATGTAAAATTAAGCATTTCAAGTTTAAATAAATCCTTGCTCCACACTTCATGATGGGTAACAGAATAAGGAACGCCCTTCCATTGATTTAATACAGGTCAGTAATTTCAGTCTGAACATGAACAATTAATGCCCAGCTTTTCTGTTTTCTAAGACCTTTTTGGATTAGCCATAGTTGGTAAGGTTTATTTTTGTGCCATAATACATATCACTAACATCACCAAAATTGTAAGTTACGAGCACTGTTTTACACTTTCTCTAATTGCACTTGGCTGCTTGATTGTGATTGTTTTCACTAACCACAAAATACCATTCTTAATGCTTGTATGTTTTGGTTTATTTTCAAAACTACTGTCTCTGTGGAATGAGTAGTATTTCCTCATAAGACCTGATGATTTTAACATCTGTCAATGTTCCATCCTGTACAGCAGGGGGGGGGGCAGTCTTAGCCGCAAAGAGCCGGTGTGTTTGCAGGTGTTTGGGGTAACCTTTAGGTCAGCTGTCCTAACCCAGGTGTGAGGACTCTTCAGCCAATCAGTCCTCTAATTAGTAATATAATTAGGGAGATGCTGCAAAAACCTGCAAACACATCAGTCCTTTCTGAATAATATTGCCCACCCCTGCTGTATAGGCTCACAGAAGGACAGGCAGCATCGAGCACAAGGAAGCGCTACACCCAGAATGGGATGCCAGCCCATTGCAGCACATACACACACACAATAGGATGAATTAAACAACAAGTTCACCCACCCATGTGTTTGGACTTCAGGACTGACATGACACTAGCAGAACATGTAAACCTCACACCGAAAAAACGAGGGTGTGATTCGAACCAACAAGCACATTCATTGTGCAACTGGAACAGTGTTAGTTAAAGGAAGGGTGTAACAATTCGTCAGCCCGAATGAATAGCTGATACTGTACGTTTGCAGGCATATTTGTGAGTATTCGCTACACAAATTACTAACAGAAAGGAAAACTCAAAGTGAATGTGGTCGTTATAGGTTAACATGTCCCGGTATTAAGAGGAGCTGATGCCCAGTGATGTTCTGTAACGAGGATTAGGAAACGCGAACAGCTTCTACGCCAGTCGTGTGTTTTTGTCATGTCATTTCACAAGCAGTGCTGTTGGGATCATAGGCGAATCATCTACACATTGTTATATTCCAGGAACACGAGTATACAGCAGACGTCTGATGCCGAGGATCAGAGCAACTCGACTGGTAAAGGCACTGCGTGCGGCCGTCACGTGACACGACACCACTCCACGTGACACGACACAATCCCGCGTGACACGGCACCGACGCTGATGAAAAGCCACATGACCGGCACATTCATTTTTATGCGGAGTGTGGAGGCGTGTTATGGCTGTCACAAAAAACGAAGCATAAAAGTCACCTGGCTAGGTAAAAGTTATCCAGACGGCTATGGGTGACTTTGTTTACAAGTCACTTTAGAACGAGATTATTTATTACTCTCATGAACCAAGATCAGTGCAAGATCAGCAACATTTACCTCATTTACTGCGTAGTTCCTCTGCACCGTTGCATTCATTTTCGGTTTTTGTCCTGTTCTACCTAGTGCTGCAGAATGCTGCTATTTTCGCCACCTGTGTGGCTCTTCTGCCTTATTAAGCTCGCCTCTCTGCTGGGGATCGGCGCGCAGTACACTCCGGACTGGACCAGCCTGGATTCTCGGCCGTTGCCCAGTTGGTATGATGAAGCAAAATTTGGGATTTTCGTTCACTGGGGCGTGTTTGCAGTGCCTGGATTCGGCAGCGAGTGGTTCTGGTGGCACTGGCAGGGAGAGAAAAATCAGAAGTACGTGGACTTCATGACGAAGAACTATCCTCCGGGATACAGCTACCCGGAATTTGCACCCGATTTCCATGCCCAATTTTTCGACCCGGACCAGTGGGCTGAGGTGTTTGCATCTTCCGGTGCAAAGTAAGCGACCGTTAGATATCCATCAGGCTGACATGCTTTTGGCTGGATCCCTCTTATAATCACTCTTCCTTCTATCCACCACCAGATACGTGGTCCTCACCTCTAAGCACCACGAGGGCTTCACTAACTGGGGCTCCCCAAATTCCTGGAACTGGAACTCTGTGGACACCGGACCCCACCGAGACATCGTGGGAGACCTCGGGGCAGCAGTTAGGAAGAGGTGTGTGGGTATTAATTCATTGTTATTGCTGGAGCTTGAAAAGATGGGGTGGGGGGATGGTTGCTTAAACTTTTACTAAACCTGATAAACGAAGCCATTCGCTTGCTTGTAATCGTGTCACATTACATTCCCTGCTGACAGGTCAATGCACTACGGTCTGTATCACTCTTTATTTGAGTGGTTCCACCCCCTGTACCTGTCTGACAAGAAGGCTGGTTTCAAAACCCAGGAGTATGTTTTCCGCAAGGTTATGCCTGAGCTCCATGGCCTGGTCAGCAGGTGAGATGGCATCCTCTCCACCTTAAAGGTAATCGATCACACTTAAAGGCATGTGTCATATTTGCTGTTGGTCCTTTAGCTACAAACCAGATCTGATCTGGTCCGATGGAGACTGGGAAGCTCCTGACACTTACTGGAACTCGACCAGCTTCCTGGCCTGGCTCTACAACGACAGCCCAGTCAGGGTGAGCGCCATAACGACACTCTTACTTGTTTATCATGCTTCTCTAATATTGTCACAGGTGTCAGAATTATTAAATTGGCAGAAAGCCATATCCAGGCTAATTTGTAAAGCTTGATTACAAATTTGGTGCAACTGGTACAGTAAAATTGACATTTATGACTCAATTTCAAAAGGCTTTGTAAATTGTCCACAAAAGATTACCGACATCTGTGTGTTAGCACTGTGAGAGGATACAAAGCAATTTAGATTAAATGTGTAAACTGTCAAGGGAATGGCGAGATGATTCAGCGAACACATCTGCAGCTTCTAATGATGGAAATGTGGAACTGGATGTGATCCATGACCGCATGTGATGTTCTTTTGGACTTTGGAGCTACATCTGATGAGGAACATCTCTAGAGATTTATGAAAAGGGTGGCTAGGGGTGGGGTGACTTTAAAGAAAATGAGCGATAAGACACTATTTACACTAATTAGTGTACATTTATTTGGGTGGTGTTAAAGGGCATTTTAGAGCAGGAACATCCCCTGTAGCTGGTTATGTTCTGGGAAACCTGCTGGTGAAGTTGTGCTCCGACGAGTCATTTCCGTTTCCCTGGTTACAGGATACCGTCGTGACCAATGACCGCTGGGGGGCGGGGTGCAGCTGTAAGCATGGGGGCTACTACAACTGTGAGGACAAGTACACGCCGGGCCAGCTGCCAAAGCACAAGTGGGAAAAGTGCACCTCCATCGACACGTACTCCTGGGGCTACCGCAGGAACATGATGGTCTACCAGCTATTGGACCTGCCCACCATCATTGATGTGAGTCTGGGGCCCTCAGCCTGCTGTGCCGGTTAGGTGGGGAGAAGCTCAGAGCTTCAGGTCGTTGAAGGCTTCCGGATCTCCATTGACCAATCAGAACCTGTGCCAACCACATGAAATCTGCCAATGGGTTTAAAGCAGTGTTCCCCAGTCTGGTCCTAGGGGATCTGCAGACAGTCTACGTTTCTGCTACCTACCGGGAGCTAGGAGGGAGGAAAAATGTGGACTCTCTGCAGGTTAGGGGAGCAGTGCCCCCCCCCCCCCCCCACGATCTGGAAAAAAACACATCGATTTTTTTTGCTCCCCTTGATGAGCGAAGCGACCGAGTCGATTGAAGCGAAAAAAAAGACACAAAGATTGCTGCCAGGTCACTGCGAGACAACGTGTGAGAGGGTGCCATAAACACGCCTTGCATCCTCCAAACCAGCACTGTTTTATTTTATACATTTATGAGTCACTAAACTTTTAGTGTCGTCTGCTGGCCTTCGCTGAGGGATGTTAATTTGTAGTTATTTTTGTTTTAATCACTCATTTATCGCTTTTATATGTCTTATTTTATATATATACATATATTTCCTTCTGTCCTTGCCACTTGTTTCCTCACATCATGTTCTTTGCCTATCTTATACAACCCACTCTCACCAAGGCCGTCTGACCCCCCCGGCCCCAGGAGTCTGTACGAAGACCACAGATAAAGGGCCTGCTGCCCTCAGGGGGGGCAGATGCTGCGTTCCATTTGAACTCGTAAATTCCTAGTCAGAAATTCCAACTGGAGGGTCTCTTGAAGTCGGAATTCCGACTCGTGAACTCAGAGAAACCAACGCAGTCCCGAGCTCAGAATCCAAGATGGCTGCGCCCTTTATCAACAGAAGTTAAAGCTGTAGTTCTATACTGTTCATTAGCACTTACGTCTTATTTGTGGCTCATTAAATCAGTTGTACACACAGTGCTGCCGAACCACTACCTGTGGACTTGCTGCTACGGTGTTTGCGCAAATTATCATGTAATGGGTTGTTATTCACTGATATTGCTAACAATTAACTGGGCTAGAACTGGGGCCCGTTTCATTAAGCAGGATTTCTTGCTTAAGTGGACAACTTGTCAGATTTTAGGTAGTCTGGGTTAAATGTAAATGAATGAAGATAGAGGCAGTTTAAACTGGGATAAACTAAATCCGCCAAGTTTTCCAGTTAAGCAAGAAATCTTGCTTTTTGAAACAGGTCCTTGTTGCTAAATGGCTTTCCGACTTCCTGTATTGGAGCACTGCTAACTCATGTGTGACGTCATTCACAGCAAGACAGGCATCTGTCAGCATCTGAGATTTAACATCGTCATTCTGTCTTAAAAGCCGAAGGAAGCTGGCTTATCATTCAGCTCGGAAAGAACTTGTGGTTTCACTGAAGAAATCCCCCATCGCATGTCATCTGTGACTTTCGCAAAACTCCCTCAAAATTTCCATTTAATTTCTTATCCCGGCCCCCGCAATATATCAGAACAACGATGAGGACAGTCATGATGCAGAACGGTCGACTGTAGTCCCGATATCCAGAAACCGATTGATGTTTCAGGGAGACACACACGTGTAGGGGGTCTTGGTAACCTCCCCCCTCTCCCCATATCTCCTCCCTGCAGGACTTGGCACGCACCGTGGCCCTGGGGGGGAACTACCTGCTGAATGTGGGTCCCACAGCGGACGGCACCATCCCCGCCGTGTTCGAGGAGAGGCTCCGAGCCGTGGGCCAGTGGTTGCAGGTTAATGGGGAGGCTATTTACGCATCCCAGCCATGGCGGGTGCAGGCAGAAAACACCACTGTGCCAATCTGGTGAGTGCCCCCCCCCACCCATTCCAGGAATTTCTGCTCATCGAAGATTGTCTCCCGGAGTTGATTTATGGATGGATTTTACCATTAGCCTCACGTTCATGGAGACCAGGGTTCGATCCCCAGCATAGGGCTCTCCGTGTCCTCGAGGGGTTTCCTCTTGGTACCCCGGTTTCCTCCCCACAGTCCAAGAACATGCTAAGGTGAAGTGGAGATGACAGATTGTCCGTAGGTATGAATGTGTGTGCGGGGGTGAATGTGTGTGCGTGTGCCCTGCGATGGGATTGGTTATTCCCTGCCTTGTGCCCATTATACCCAAGATAGGCTGTGGACCCCCTGCCAACAGCTTCCAGAGTAGAAGATGAATTGAGGAATGGATGAAAAAATGACTGCGCATGTTTGGAGATTGAGATGAGGCTGAACACGTATGATTTCATTAAGAGGCGCGGCATGTGGCACACTTTGTTCTGTGACATGGGGTTTTTCATGTTCCTCAGGTACACATTTAAAGGAAAAAGCGTGTACGCCATCTTCCTGGATTGGCCGTCTCAGTACAGCCTCAAGATCACCACTCCCAAAACGTCCTCGCTCTCCAATGTAAGAATCCTGTATGAAAACACATTATATGAAGCCGTACTGTGGTCTGTTAGCTTGTGGAAAAATACTGTAAATATTCTGTAAATTGATTAACTTATTTCTGTAGAATGAATACTATCATCAGTGGCACTAGTTTCCTGGTTCCCATTTTTGTTTTTTTTTGTACTTCCCGTTTGGTCTTTGTGTAGGTGACCTTACTGGGTTATCCCAAGCCTCTGAAGTGGTCAGCTCTGGAACCAACTGGCCTGATAGTCACACTGCCCACCATGAATATGGGTGGGGCCCACGGATGGACACTCCGATTGGATGGCGTGGCGTGAAGTCACAGTCACAAAATTGCACCCGAGTCAGATCCACCATTGATTTGAAAAGCAATTCTTAATCATTATTTTAAAATTGCGAGCTAAACAAATGCTTTGCGTTTGTCTAGACTGCGGAAAGCGCATCCGATTGTTGAGTGGTGATTCAGATAATCTGTCCTCGAGCACAAAAGGGGAAATCAACTTTTGCCCAAATTGAGATGTCAAGGCTGTTTTGTCTGTGTTTTGATGATAATGAGGGACCTGATTCTTTGAATATGTGAAATGTTTATTTCCATAAACAACAAACCAAAAGTGTCATGCCTGGCAGTCTGCGTTATGTCTGCCCTTTTTAGAAAAGATGAAAATAAAACGCCATGCTTTTGATGTTGGAAAGTGTCGTGCTTCTCCGAGAAGCTCTTTCTGCACCAGCGGAGCTTACATTTCCCAAGTCACACACTTTATCTCGTTCCATAAGTCTGTATTTTGCAATTTTCAGAAAGCTGTTCCTGCACACCCGTCTCCTTCGCCGTGTCTATAAAAGCACATCTTAGAATGATCCCTTTTCACAGAAGTAGCGTGTGATAGTGGATGGGCTTATTTGGAAGAGAAGCAATACAGTTCGGAGAAGCCGTGGTGTTTTTGAGTTAGTATGTTCACTGTTTTTGTGTTTTGCACGTTTATTTGCTTGAAATTAACTCTGGTATATTCTGAGTCCTCTTACATTTACAGAGATAATGTTTTTGATATGATGATATTAAACGTCAATATTCAAAATGATTCAGCCAGTGAAATATGTTTTGTCTTTCAAGGGCTCATCAAATGGCACAGGATGTTAAGTGTGAATGTAACAGCAGTGTGGAGTGATTCCATCCAATCACAGACAGTCTGGTGATGCTTCTCAGCAAGCCCCCCCCCCCCCCCCCACATGCCGGTGCTCAATAGCAGCTGCTTAGCTTCACCCCCCCACCCCCTCAACCTGCTTGCACACATGCTTGTTAAAGAAAACCTTCAGTAAACCTTTAGTAAAAAACAATACCATTTTTCCTCGCTAAAAATAGCTTTATAGTAATAATTAGAAAACATTTACAATGTCAACAGTGTTACATTCTGTTTAGGTTACCCACATCACAGTGTGCCATCTCTGGGTTTGTGCTAGCACATGTTGGTCTGTACATACCCATGGATGAGAAGATGATGATTGAAACAGAATCGATAGACATGATTGATTTACACTTCATTTTTTGTTACAGTCATTGTTTGACTAGTCTCTACTGTTTTTTTTTCCCCTCCTACTTGATCAGATAGGACCACCACATTGTTATTTTGTACATGAGACCTTAAATAAATACTACGGTGGTTCTTTGTTCAAGGGACAACACTATTGCTATTTACTACGGCTACTTGATCTGGGTTTAGCGATGCAAACACATCTGTAGCTGTTCGTACCGGTGGCTCACTGGACCAGGAAGTAGATGTCCGCTTGGGAATCAAAAGAACCAAACTGGTGTGAGTTTGAGAAGAGGCGTGTCCTGGGTTGGTGCATCTTCTGCTCAAGCTCCAACGTGGCCGGTCCCCGAGGCTGGATGAGGCAAGAAGATCAAAGGGAAGTGTTTTGCTACATGTCCGAGTCCAAAGCCGTACAAAACAGGGGAATAATCAACATCAGGAGACTCTGCTTTGACTGAACATGCAGATTGCTGGCCAGTCCCCAGATAACCATTTCCAAATGCTCTCCATGCGAAATGTTCGTCTTAGTGTTGAGCCCTTGGTGACGAGCCCCTTTCAACTCTCCGGGAACAAGTAAGTCTGTTTCTACCCCTTCAACATCGTATCCCGTTGCCCAGGTGTTGCTCTTGGTAGCAGCAATAGAAAAGTAATATTTTTTTTCATTACAAACTTGCCCTTAAATACAGAGTATGATAAATAGTATTTGAAATAACATCTAACTTACAGCGATAGTAATAAGCAATATTAATCATAATAACAATACACATTAATAGTAATAACAGCAATTTCCATGACCACAAAGATATATATACATGGTAAATGTGAGCAGAAGAGGTATATGTAATTACACAGTAATTACTCAGTCACATAGGACCCCATGTAACTCTCAGCGTTCAGGTGCTCTAGTAAGGTGTCCTAAATTCAGAAGAACATCACAGTGCGATAACTGTACACTAGGGGTCCTCAGTGCTACTACGGCTTGATGAGGAGCTACGTTCAATTCTGTGAGCAGCAGACCTGCTGGTCCAGGTTAACCCACGCAGGCTTTCTGGTGTGGGGTCTTGGGGCTGGAAGCCCTGTGCAGGTAACGGGTGGGGTATTAGTGATGGGGGGGGGGGGGCTCCCTCCCTTCCTGTGGGGGGTTGTGGTGCCAGATGTTGATGGAAATTCTGGCTCTGCTTAATGTGAGAGGCGGTCACGTGACTGGGATGGGAGATCAAGGGTCATAGAAGAAAACAGAGGGAGGGGGTGACGACCAATAGATGCAGCATACGAGATAGGGGGCGGAGTTTGGAAAAATGATGCATCTGTGAGTTCAGCTAATGCATGAGATGATAATACTAGCTAAGGTCTTTTCTGCTGGAGACAGCAGTTTCTTCATACCTGGCTATGATTAGACGGTCATTTGTAAGCTCACTGAGGATTAAGGAAGGACTTCAAACAAGCTGATGGTGGATCTTTTGCTCCTGGTTACATCCTAATTCATCTCCTAAATCCAAAACATTGTTGTGCTTGTGTGCAGAGCTTGAGTTTCTTCCATCTTCCCCCTACATGGATCCCTGCCCCCCACAAAAAAAATGGGGACCAAATAGCAACTGAGCCAAATTATAAGTTATAAGGCTTAAAATCAATGCATTAGATGCAGGACCACCATTGGATGACTAAATGGAAAGGGGTGTATACAGGGGCGGGGCCACAGGGACATTGGCCGCCACTGAAAGCTGATTGGCTCCCAGAGTGACTCCTCCTCTGTCACTCACTGATTCAAAACACATCATTGGCTAATGATAAGTTTAGGTGTATGAATTATGCCCCCCCCCTCCCCCCCCTAAAAAAGTCCTAGAATCGCCCCTGTTGCTGAACATCGTTGTCTGCCCTAACAGAAGACAGAGCACTCCACTCCTAATCTGATTCTAACAGCAACAAACTTATGACATTTATAAGGTCAGCAAGTCCAAGGGAGGTTGCACGGCTGACTGGCCTCGAATCCCCAGAGTCTATTTTATCTCATACATTCGCAATAGGAGTTTCTTTTTCCTCTCTTCAGTTTTCTTCTGGCTTTTCCCCAGACGGGCTTTATAACTCTTCATAACGTTGAGTGCTGTTACGTCCATTTTCAATGCTCTTTTATTAAGCACTTTACGGTAATTATGTTAGCCCGATACAAAAATAGAATGGAACCGTGGAAGCAAGTGTTGAGATACTTCTCACCCAATGATTCGCATCAGGTGTTTCCTTTTAATTAGAGAGACAGCAGTTGATGTATTGAATAAGGAAGAACAAAAGACGCTGGGTCTCAGCACTCTGAAGGCTGACGTTAACAAATATCGTTGAAAGTGACCCGAACACCGAATGAAACAGCCGTGGTTGTTTCTTTTAACTTAACATCTGCTCTTTTAAAAAATCATTTCATTACAAGACAGGCCTTGTAATAAACCTGTCCTTAACAGCAGTGTTGTTTTAAAAGTTGAAGAGTCCTTCACATTCAAGTACAACCAGTAGGCCTACTTCCAAAAACATTGTGCTTATTTAATTTACAGCTTCGGTTTTTATTTAACTATTGGAGAAGTATGCTGTATAAATTATGGACACTGTAAGACAAAATATTTCTTCTATGAAAACCCAGGCATCTGCAGAATCTGTATAACAGGGATTCAGCAGTATTGAATTTTATTCATAAGAAAATTTGCAGTAATTCGCTTGGGATTGCTTAGGACCTCTTCAAATTGATAAATTGTACTGCATGCTTGTTGAAAATCTCCGTCATTCTACAAAGAGCAGTATATCTGTAAAAACTTTCCTCTAACAAGTCAAAAATAATTGGATTTTGCATTGGCATTTCCAAAATAAATAGGAACATCTTATGTTTGATTTCCAAAAATCCACTCTTGGATCCTGCAAAGAACAACATTTAACTAACAATATTACATCTCTAAACCCGTGACGGTACGGGTGATCCTGTATTCAAGTGAGGACACAACCAGCTCCCGTATGTAGCGAAAAGAGACGCGGCTGTAATTCGATGACGCCGGTGGCAAACGCGCGGGCACAGGCGTAGACTTCAAAGCGATATGCGCGGTCTCGTTAAGCGAACTATATGCGAATCTCCGCGTTAATCCACACCAACGTGTGTGTGCTTGTGTGTCTGCGTCGTCCACAACAGTAAAGTTTCAATACGATAAAGTTTCGATACATTAAAATAGCTCTAATAATATTGAAAAAAGTATTCTAAATGCCGCAAGTCTATATACACATTTGAAGGTAAGATTCTATTCTATATTTCAGTAGTATATTAATACGAAATAAGCCACACACATCTTGGTAATCAGGCACGTGTTGTTAGCTGAGTAGAAAAAACGGGAGTGACCCACTGTAGCTAGAGATAGGAGTTTAAGGAAGGTGACACTGCAAACCCAATTACAATCCAGTGCATTTACAGAGAAGGGGAAAAGAGAGAGGGAGGGAGAAAGAGAGTGAAAATCGGAGAGAAAGTACACTTGACAGCTGTGTTTGGCACAGTCAAACCCTGTGAACTGAACACTACAGACACATCCTTCAAAAAAGTCTTATACGTCAGGAGACGCCATGAAAAAACAGCCATCAGCTGTATTCAGTTATTGTACATTAGATCATATTAATAATATGTTTTCAGATTCATATAGCAGATTTCACACATTTTTATACATAGACGCTCTACTGTTCTAAAAAGGTAGATAATATTACACATTATAAAATAAAGCATCTCCCAATAAAATACTTAATATAATATTAATTCACTTTCAGGTTTATAAAACAAAGCCTACTTCGTTCTTTTAAACCGGCTTTTATCCAGAGTCAGTGAGAATTGCATTAGTAATGTACATGATAAACTAGAGCGCATGTTCTGTGTAATTACATAATCTAGCCACAAGAGGGCCGCGGTAAAACGATAAGAACGAGAAAACGGTCGGACGATACCCTTATTCTGGGTGGCTCAGGATCTCAAAAAAGATGGCATATTTAAACCTTGTTCATTTGATAGCAGTCCGAGGCTGTATTTACACTAAGCTATGCCTCATGATTAAAAAAAAATAATTAAAACAGATTTAAATACCCCACATTTGGGTCTAATCAACAAGATGCACTATAAAAACACAGCATCATTTGATCTTGCTGGCCATGCCAACCAAAAATACAGCTTTGAAAAACAAGGGCATAAAAAGAACCGGGGCATTATGAATTGTGAAGCATGTCCAGGGGCGCGCCTAAGCACAACGCGCACTTCCGGAGAGCGGGGGACAACACCTTGCTGGATAATTACAGATGCTCCTAGACTTACGATGGATCGGCTTACGATCATTTGACTTATGATGGTGCAATTGCAGTGTAGCTATAAGTCCTTGACTTACCGATATTTTCCACTTACAATGAGTTAATCGGAACGTAACACCATCGACAGTCGAGGAGCACCTGTGCACACCTGTGCACACCTGGGCTTCATCCGCCGCACATTTGAAACGAGCTACACAGACATCACTGTGTTTTGAAATGATCACACTTTTCTTTCTGTTCTGACCCCTTACAAAGTGGCTTTTTGTATCTCCCCCTCCTATTTTTTAAGGACAATCCAAGGACGCTTTCCTACATGGTGAGTAATAGTTGGGGGGCCCCAAGCGCCAAATTACCATTGTCTTGTCATTGTTTGCTCAGTAGGGGTCACTGTCGATCAACAATAAAAGCCACAGAGTGAGAATCCCAAACTGACATGAAGTCAGCATAATGTGAGGTTTTCGTGTGACTGTGTTGGGACATTCTGCCACTTCATGAATATTTGCCTGCAGAAACCCCATGCTTTTTAAAAACAGCTGGCACAGTTGTCAAAAAAAAACAACCCAAAAAAACCCCCAAAAATTCACACACACACGCACTCTCCCCGTCGGCTGCATCAGGAGACACTGAGGCCTGCTTCCGTCAGAAGGGAAATTTTATGACAGCACAAATGAACACATCTCTCCTACGAACTGTTTTACATAACTTAGAGTTTCATGAAGCACACCCAGAAGATGGCGAGAGGCCCTCTTTCTCCCTTGTTTGGCTTTGATTCTGTGTGTGAATTGAATATCTATATATGAAAGTCCCCCGTTCTCTCTCCAGCCCTCTTTATCTATAATTGCTTAAAGTGGCTTAGTGGCACATGCCAGGATTTCATAGGCTGAGGTGAGGGTTGGGCATGGCTTGCAGGGGCATATACAGGGGCGGGGCTACAGGGGAACTGGCCCCAGCTGAAAGCTGATTGGCCCCCATAGTGCTCCCTCCCCTGTCACTCACTGCTTCGAAACATATCATTGGCTAATGATAAGGTTGGCCCCTCTGTATGAATTATGGCCTCTCTTATTCCCCCCATCTTAAAAAAATCCTAGAACCACCCCTGATGGCTTGGCAGGGGGTAGCGGGGGGTGGAGCTTTAGGGCTTTAGAGTCGGGTCTGTGCCTCTGGGATGTAGATCTCGATGCTGTCGGCACTCTCGGTGGCTGAGTTCTGCCGGAAGGAGGCGGCCCGCTTGGCTGGGAGGAGCCTCCCGTGTAGCTCCGCCCGCTGTCGCTCGCCCAGGTCCAGTGACTTCTCCCGCAGGGGCACGGTGCGACCGCTGCGGGACATCACCAGCACCCCCACGCTCCCACCGCTGCCCCCGCTGGCGGCATCCGCCATGCTGCTGCTCACGCTCGGCTTCTTTGGTAAAAGGGGAGGAGGCTTCTTTTCCTCCTGGAAAATGGGTGGGAGGAGCCGACACGAGGGGAGTGACACGATTGGGTGGATGTGTGGAATAAGGCAGAGACATGCAAATTGGGGCAAGGAAAGGAAGGAGAGGAGGAAGTGGAGAAAAAGCAGGGTAATTGAACGAGGAAGAAAGGGTAGATCGATAAGGCAATCATTAGGACAGCGGTAGGAGAGGGGAGGATGGAGCAGAGAGCCTGAAGCGACAGTAGGTGTGCGTACTGCTGGTTATACTAGGTTTTTTCACTTGTGTTAGGCAACATCTGTGCCATTTTGGCTCTGTCATCAGGATACTTAACACTGCTGTGATCAGTGTCTCGTCCTGTCATGTGGCCATTTTGGCTCCAGGCATTAGACCTGTTGTTTTGCTTGCTGTTGGTTTTGTCACAGTGAGACCCTCAATTACATTAGAAACAACCATTCTGGCTTCAGGAGATGTCTGGGGAGTCACCTCACCTTCCTGTCAGATGGCAGCCTCCAGCCAGAGTCCTTCAGTCGCTGTAGGTCCTGGAACTTGACCCGCACGTCCTCGATGGCCAGTTGCAGCAGGTCCCAGAAGGCGGCCAGGTCCTGAGAGGTGGGTTGGGGGTACGCTGCAGGGTCCTGAATAGGGGGTAGAACTTACTCACACTTTCTCTGCAAAGATTTATGTAACTTTGCCAGCCCAAAGAGGTGACTCCAGTTCCTTTGACTCCAGTTCCTTTGAATGCATCCCTTCCCCGCTCTCACAGATGTCACATGAATCACCGGGAATCAGCCGTTCCAGAGTGAAAGTTCAAGCAGACGTACCAAAATAAAACCAAAAGGAAGAGGAGAGATGGTGAGGGATCTGTGCTGAAGGCCCTGGGTCATGCCATGGTGGGATATAGTAGACTAACTCAGATTTGCTTCTCCCAATTTGTCATAAAAAAATAAATAAAAAAGTGATGAATCATTTCTAGCTGAGGAACAACAAAAGAGAACATTTGTTACGCTTTTGTTCCCAGGGAAATATCAAACTTGCAGCTCCTACCCGTGCCGTAAGTTTAGTTAGAATAATAATAATAAACATATTAGTCACGAGTCGAAAGTGAAAAGACGGAGAACATTGGAGACGCCAAAGCAAAGGAGAGAAGAAGCCTACGGGTCTTGTGAGATCTTAATGAATACTCAGGAGCTTTTCTTCTCTGAATGATGCTGGAGAACCTTCTCTAACACCACCACCCCCACCCCCAACCCCCTGCCGTAACTGGGTGGGAGACTCACCATACTCTGCTGGCACAGCCGGAAAAACTGCTGGACCTTCTGGGACATCAACATCTGGGCGCTGGTCACGGCTCCGTGGATGAGCTCCATCACTGGGGGGAGACAGGTGGAGACAGACGGCTGAAATCTGGGTGAAGCATCATCCCTAAATGGTCCCAGAGGGCAAGGGGTGCCAACCACGCGCCTCATGCTCTGCCTTCCTGCTTTTCCGCGGCCTGAGCTTCAGTTCTCAGTCACGTGGCGCGACATCCCCGCCGCGAGTACTGAGATGCCCCCACTGGCATGACATCATCGGTGTGCTCGCTAGAAGCAGAAATCCAGGGCAGCCTGCCATTAAAAATGCAGGACGGCGCAATCAGCGCTTCCATAGGGCTGGGGTTTTTAACTCTCTGCTGCACCCCCAGATAGCATGGGCTATGCTGAACCTGAGCCCCTAGGGGCCCCAAATCTGTGGGGGCCCCCATTTTTTTTTTCTTTTTCTAATAGGAGCAACGGCAACAATAATAAGACGAAGAAGCAGAATAAAATAATAGAAATGAAATAAAAGTAATAAAATAAATGGCATTCCAGGTAAACAGTGAAATAAAATGAAAAGATAAAAGCTAAAAACTATAAGAACAAAATAAAGAAATGAGATAAAATCTCTAAAACGTTAAAAACCGAATTAAGAGAAAAGTACATTTACAACGGCTTAGTGAGAAAGGTCTGTGAGTTTTTTTCTGGTTGTTACAGAAGGACGCAGTGCCATAGGTGGGGCCCTAGTGAGTATCCCAGGGGCCACATCCTCCTAGATTCGACGCTGCCGGTGACTCACCCTCCTTGGGCAGGTCATTCTCCTCTGCTTCCCTCTCCATGTTCTGGCACCAGCCCTCCATGCGCTCCACCTCTGTCTGTAGCAGGCGGAGGAAGAGCTCGCCGTCCCGGGGGCAGGGCGAGGCGCGGCCCGAGTCGGGGAGGCTGCGGGGCCCCTCAAGCCAGCCGGCGCGGCTGGGAGGCCGGGGGGAGGGGGCGCGGCTGGTGACCTCGCCGGCGTAGCCTCCCTGCTGCTGCTGCTTCTGCTGCTGCTGCTGGTGGAGGTACTCGTCCCGGTACGCCCACTGGCCCTGCGTATGCACCGTGCGGTACTCCCCGTAGGGGCCCGCCGACTCCGGCTCTGACGAATGCCGCTGGAAGGAGCAACCGAATTGCAGGCCCTTGTCCTGCGTGGCCGCGCCCAGCCCAAGCAGACCCTCTGTCTCCAGGTCTGCCTGCACGCTCGCTGTCACGCTGTTGGAGCGCTTGAAGCGCGCTCGCCTGTAGGGGGCGACGCGCCGGTAACCTCACACCTCACAGTCATTTTAAGCTCATCACCTGGCTTTCACACAACCCCAAAAACAGGCTCTCAATCCTGTCTAGCTGTCACAAGGTGCAACTCCTCTGTTGTAACTGCGAGCGTGAGGACAGCATATCGGTGACATTCACTGATCTGGAAATGACCTGCCTTTCTCATTTATATGTAATCTGAATTTTTCCACTGCATTTTGTATAATTTGACAAGTGACACCAGGAGTAATTTTTAACTTGTCTGACGTGTGCCGTGACTGTAATAAAACTCCGCAACTGAAGATGATCGGAGAACCAATGTCAGTTCAGTTTAATTAATTTTTATATTTTATATAACACCTTTCATAACAAAGTCGCCCCAAGGTGTTTTACATGGGTCTGTTGTTATACGTTACCAGATCTCTGACATGTACGTTTGCCACACGTCAGCTCACCATCAAGCTGACCAGCGGGCTTAGGCCTGGAGTGCTTAGTGTTTGAGTTGCGGGAGTAGAGGCTGTGTGTGTCTCAGCGAGCTAAGCCTCTCTGCCTGTGATCAGAAGGTCACTGGTTCATGCCCGGCCTCGACAGAATAGCCACATCTGTGGGCCCTCGAGCAGCGCCCTTAGCCCCCAGCTCCATGGTGGCTGTCTCTTGCCTACATGTCTCTCATGGGGAGTAAGATGAGAATTTCCCAACAGGGATCAGTAAAGAACCACGAGTGTTGTTGTTTGGCTTGGGTTATGGTTAGATGTGGAGTGGTTAGACTTGTGGTTAAGCTGTCAGAGTTAGGGTTGTGTTAGGATTGAAGAGGCTTAAGGTTGGAGCGTTTAGAGTGGTTAAGGTTTAGAGCGGCGATTGATTAGGCATGGGACAGTGTGGGCGGAGCTCCCAGCTGGCCATACCTCTTATCTTCCTCTACCTGAACCCCGATAGAATGCACCTCCCTCAGGACTTTGCTCTCGGTGTCTGAGTCTGATATGGTCTCGGAGCTGTCCACCTGTAGGAGGGACGCGATGTCAGAGGCACCTCCAGTGAGGATCTGCCGCAGCCGCGTGACAGTGACAGTGACAGTGTCCCCTCTTGGCTCACCTGCACGGCGATGGACGGCCTCCACTTGCCCCTCCGCCCCTCCGCCTTGTGCTCGCCCAGCGCCTCGGCTGGGCCCTGGCTGTTCCCACTCTGCGGGAGCGAGGAGGACTTCCCCAGGACGACGGCGCTCCGCTCTCGGCCCCCCCTGCCGGTCACCTCCAGGAGGCTGTCAGCAGAGCTACTGTGCTTGGCTCTGGCCGCCATGGCCGACGCCGACCCTGTACCGGCCAGCGGCACCCGGCTCCCATCCAGGCTCTCGGTGGAGTTGCTGTGCGGCTTGGCGCGGCCGGCGGCATAGTACCCGCCCCGGGAAGACGGCCTGCCCCCGGCCGCCTCCAGACCATCCAGGGAGTGGCTGTGCTTGGTGCGGGGCGACGGCTGGCCAGTGCTCAGGAAGTAGGCGTCCTGGGTCGACTCTGTGCTGCTCTGTGCCGTCACGGCGATGAGGGGTTTGGCCACGCGGGGGGGCAGCGGGGGGGCCATCTTCCGGTACGGAAACACTGAAGAGGCGGACGTGACAGAACATTGTGGTTAGCGTTGCAGTCCTGTCCTGTGGACAGGGCAGGGGGACAGTGCAAGTGGTGGAGGGGGGGGGGGGGGGGGGGCACCATGACAGGAAAATAGGAAAACAAGATGGAGGAAGAAAAGCAAATGGGGAAGTTAGGGAGGGAGTTAGACTCCCTGAACCAGGACAGACTGTCAGCCCATGCAGAGGGAGGGGAGATTAAAAATAAATGGCTAAGATGTTGCCAGGAAGACAAAAGCCCGTCCCCAGTCCACAGCGGGCAATTTCAGGGCCCGTGTCTGAGCAAAATCACAGCTCCAAAGCAAAGCTGGGCGGGGGGGGGGGGGTTGCTGTAGCTCTATTCTGCTTCTGTAGACTCTCTCCTGTTTTAAATGGGGGGAGGGAGGGTCCTTCAACCCCCTCTCCATATTTCCATCCCATCACGACACCAAGCGTCCACGCAGTCTCTCTGGAGTCGCGTTGGGCGCTGCAAAGCTCTCTCCTCAGATCTCACAGGGCACAGAGTGTCGCCGCGGCTGTGCCGTCGAATTGTTAATCTGCCGCGACAGTATAGCTTTGACGGGATCTCTCATTGGCCAGACGCATACAAGGAGCAATTACGGTCATGACGGTCATCATAATAGCGAGGTTAAAGGGATGGCAGAATGGAAGGAGGAACGGCATAAGGCAGCCCCGGAGGGGACGACATCGCCGCAAAGAGACAGGACAGGGAGGGAGGCGGAACATGAGAAGGTGAGGAACACTCAGGAAAAGAGGGAGCAGAGAAGAAGAGGGATGGTGAGAAATGAGGGGAGGAAATGAAGCTTTATTTGTGTATGTGAATGTGTCAGTTTTCACATATCCCATCATGCTCTACTTCTTAACGACATACACACATATATACAGGTGACAGTGAAGCTTGGGGTCCGGGCACAGGCTCAGCTATTAATCCAGTGCTGCTGTAGAATTTTGGGGGATTAAGGGTCTTGCTCGACGGCCTAAAGGATGTGTGACTCTTGAGTATGGGACTCGAACCATCAAACCTTCTGGTCACAAGCACAGAGGTCTGACCAGCTGAGCGGCACACGACATGGGACTCACCGCCAGCTGCCTTGGGCCCCACTTTGGGGCTGGAAATGGAGAAGACAGACAGGCAGTCATCGTCCTGGGAGCAGCCGGCTTGGATGGCACGCACGTAGCTGTGGCTGCGGGTTCGAAAGCAGCCGGGCAGGTCGAGCGCCTCCACTGCCTGCGACTCAGCCTCGCCGAACACTGACTCGCAGACCGAGTCGAACTGGTGGTTCAGCACGTCGCTGAGCTGGGGGCGGCAGACAGGGGGCGGCTCAGAAACGTGACCCCCCCCCATGCACTCGCATGTAAGGATACGCACACATATGTGAACACACTTGCAAACATAAACACAAACACACACACATGTAAACACACTCATAAAAAAGCTCTGCAGCCGTATGTAGTGTGTTGTTACCTAGGTGTGAATAAACCAAAGCAACTGCAAGGCAGAAACAGAGACGGAGCAAGAGGGCGGGCCCTGTGGGCGGAGCTTAGCGGGATCATCGGCGAATCACCTGTGCGCTGGTCAGGGAGCGCGTGTAGCTGCGAGAGCGGCCGTGTCCCTTAGGCGCCATGCGGCTGGGGGTGTAGCCGTCTGTGCACTCCTTACAGGAGAACCTGCCGTGTCCAAGACAGAAAAACAGGCTCAGATACATCTACACTACATGAATAACATTCAGTTCATGCTACTACAAAGGAAGGGAGTTTTACTGTCATTTACATTCAGATCTATTTACATGAATTTATTTAGCAGGCATACAAATAAGAAAGTAGGACCAGACTATCCTGGAGCAATTGGGAGATAAGGGCCTTGCTCAGGTGACATCAGATTGCAAGGATTTGAACCAACGCCCTTCCAGTCACCGGCACAGGGTCCTAAACCTCTAAGCCAGATACTTTACCCATATTTAGTATGAGCATTTCAGACACTCATGAGAATGAGATGATAATAAGGAGGTAGATGGTGAGAAAGGCCTCACTTGGCATTGGCACGGTGGTCCATGCTGATGGAGCGGTGGAAGGCCTCCCTCTGGGCGATGAGAGCACTGCGTGGCGAAGCCCGGGGGCTCGGGTCCGAGTCGCCACTGTCGTCGTCACCCATAGCCTTGATGTAGCTGCCACTGCGCATCCGGCGGCAAGGGATCTCTCCGCCGCCGTCCAGGCCCTCCCCGCCAGGGTAGCCCCCGCCCCAGTCATCCGACGGCACCTGCCAGACACGCGGGGGGGCTCAGGAATGGCGGAGGCACAGAGGACCTGGGGGAGGGGCATCTCTCCAATGTCTCTGAGCTCCCCTAGTTTGAGGCAGTGTGTCCCATAGGTCCGGATAGACTCACCAATGCGGACTTAACTGCGGGTGAGCCAAGCGGCCAACAGGGGGCGCCGCGGGCGCGAGAGTGCTAAGCCGGAGTCAGCACCAAACCGTCCTGTGCTATTTGCTCCACCCCTACCTCCATCCCGACGGGTGATTGACATGACTGTACTCTGTCACCATGGTGACAAGGTTATTCTGAATGTGGCTTTGCTCGTGTAATGCCGATCTCGGCGCGGGAGCATCGCGGTCGCTCTGACGCGGACCAGAGCGCCTTCCGTGGGAATCTGGGCCGTCTTCTAAGAAGACACATCAGACGCGTGACTTCAGAGGCAGACGATGTGGGGCGTGGGGAGTTTCACCCGGAGAGCTGGCTGCTCGCCAAGCCGCCGCTGATCCCCCTGGGAGGCGGGGCTCTGACTCATCATCTCTGCAGATTTCTGGGGTTTGTGTGCGAGATGAAAGCTCTATTTGGAGCTCGCTGGAGGGGCGTGGCCTAGTTTGTGTGGCGGCCGAGCAGAATCAGGACCTCGTTTCAAGCAGTGGCACAAGAGGTCATAGAGACGGATCATAGCACAGGGACTGAAGGAGATCCATCCTGACGCCAAACATCTTGCTTACACTGTCATGTATGTGCAAGCTCCCCCCCCCACACCCCCTCTGTCCTGATGGATCAGGAAAGGCTGTTATAAATGGGGGACCACACAAAGACGCATCAGCAGAATGGGTAGTGTTACACTAACACCTAAATGACTATGCCTGCGTGTGTCAATCCACAGGGAGATGCTGTAACACATGGTAACACATGGTTACTTCCAGGCTACTTACAGCCACACAGGCCTTTTCTAACCAAACGCTTCCCCCTTTCCAGTGCATTTATCAGGCAGAGGATTCTATCATTTTTGACTGAGCAGGGTCAGCCAGATACTGGAGGAACTGGGGGTCAAGGGCCTTGCTCAGGGGCTAAAAGGTGAAATCATTCTTCTGACAGTGGGATCTGAACCAGCGATATTCCGATAACTGGAACAGGGACTTGACCCAATAAACCATGCATCGCCGCCAGCTTCATGACACACAACATGGGCGTACAGGGTTGAGGATAGAGAAGCCCTTGTAAGCCACTCTCCTCACATGCCTGGGAGCCAGTGACACTCCACTGGTTAATTCCAAAAGGCCACACCCACCCATGTTACCCAGTGCCAGTACAGCATGGGGGGCAGTGGGTGAAGGAGGGCATTAAGGCTCTTACCCTCCACCATGAAGAAGAGGAGCCTTTGTTTAGCTAGCTGTCATGGCAGACAAAGTGCCCCCTTGCCTCAGCTGCTGGCCCCGAAGGAAGGCCGCCGTTCGCGCGGCGCTCTATTAGCGTGCGGCTAGCAGAGTGCGGCACCCCAATTAGGCGGCAGCACATTCATCAAGCTGCTGGCCACCTGCCGCCTGACAGCCGCCTTCCCGCCAGGCTCAGGCAGGGCTTAGCGGAAGCTAGCAGCCAGCGCCGTTCGGCTACGCGGAGCACCAGAGATTGGTAATTAAGCCCATCCGCGTGCTGCACTGCTACACCTGCAACGGCCTGGGGCTGTGCTGGAGACTATTTATGGTGGATTTAAGGTGGGGGGCACCAAAGGGCCATAATTCATAAATCAAGGGGCAGCCTTATCATTAGCCAATGATATCTTTGGAATCTGTGAGTGACAGGGGAGGTGGACAATCAGCTTTCAGCTTGGGCCAATGCCCCTGTGGCCCCGCCCCCATATACCAGGTCCTGCTGTAGGTGTAGGGTCAGGGTCTATAAATCGTTGAGGATAAGAGCCTGGGGGCACATCAAGATGACCAAAGGCTGGGTGCAGGCTGTGGCTGATCACGCGCGGGCCTTTACGTGCTGTTATTCAGGGCCTTCAAAGCAATGGCCGCTGATATTTATACTCTCATTTATACAGTGGGCATGTCATCGCATTTAAAGTATCACAGCAGCGTGCCGGAGAGGATTTCCCGGGGAGGATTAAGAGCAGAGCTCATCTATTCGGCGTTTCCCGCGAGATTGCCCCCGGCGGCTCCTTTCCCGAGCCGGCACACGTTCGCGGCTCTGCGCCGGCCTCACCTGAAGGTAGTGGTAACTGCGCTCCTTCACTTTGGGCTCCACCAGGGCCTTTTCGTAGGCGCCCCCCCTCTGGCTGGGGTACACCTCTCGGGCCTGGCTCACTGTCATGGCCGTCCACGTGCTCCTCTTGAGAGAGTGGCCGCTATCGCCCGGCAGGCCCATGGTGCTACATGCCACGCACTCCCCCTGCGGGCTCTTGGCCTTCACGGCCCTCAGTACTGGCTCTGGGATCGCTCCATCCAAGGCCTCGGGCCCCGTGAGGGCCATCACGCGGCCCCTGCGGCCCCCCATCCCTGCCACCAGGAAGCTGCTGTCGCTGTCCAGGTTGTCGTCGGAGCTCCACCAGCCGGCGGTCTTGCCACGGTGCCGCCGCTCACGCCGCTCGCCATGCCGTGAGTCCCCGCTCTTGCTGCGCTCGCGGCTCTTGCTCCGGCGAGCCGACCGTGACTGGTGCGTGGTGGCCCTAGGGGGGGCACTCTCCTCCCCGCCGCTCCGGTGGCCCCCACCACGCTCTCGGTGCTCACCACGTGCCTCGCCGTACTCTCGCTTTCCCGGTGCTTCTAGCGAGTGAGACTTGGCAAAGAGCCGCTGCACCGAGTGCACCAGGTGCCGGATGCGGCCCGGGCTCTCGCTGCGCTGCCCCCCGCTGGCCGCCCGCTGGTACTGTAGTGTGTGGAAGCCATCGGAAGGGAAGGGCACTTGCCGCTCAAACTGATCCAGCAGGCCCGGCGGGATGTGATGCCGCTTTCCCGAGTGACTGTGGCCCCCGGGGCCCGAAGACAGGCATTCCTCACAGGAGTCGTAGGGGTGCTGGCTCAGGTGGGAGCGTGGAAAAGTCCCCCCACCCGAGGAGGGCAGGGGCAGCGGCTCCGGGGGCCCCCCGGGTGGGTAGTAGGCGTGGTTACCATGGCCCTGGAGGTGCTCCCGTGTGCCGCGGACCTCCTGGGGGTGAGGCATATAGGCCCCCGGCACGTCGAGGCCCTCGGGCATGCAGTGGCATGGCCCCGCGGAATGCTGGGAGAGGCTGCGGCTCACATGGTATCCCTTCATGGCCGGGGCATGGTGAGCCGCACGGGCCGACAGGGGGCGCTGTGGGCGCGACAGGGCTCTGCCGGAGTCACCTGGGAAGGGAGGGGAGCAGATCACCGTGGGTCTGGTGAAGATGACCGACTCCATCAGCAGTAAAGCCACCACAGACCGAGACACTGTGCTTGAAGGTGGAAACCAAAACTGTCAGTATTAAAAGTTCATACCAGGTGAACCCAAGGACTTGTTAACAAATAGGTTCATACATTTTACACAGAGCAAAGTACATGACCGGATTTACACATCGTGCCTCACTGTGACTAGAAACAGATCACATATATCCATCCATCCATGATTCCATCCATCCATCCATGATTCTATCCATCCATCCATGATTCTATCCATCCATTCATTCATTCGTCCTTCCATGATATCACATCCAGTATGAGGTCATGGCTCGTATCCTAGGAAACAACAGGGCAGACAGCATCAAGGATGGAGTGCCAGTTCATCGCAGGGCATTTAGAGACACAGCTGGATGCATGTTTTGGTCATATAAGACACACCTAGCACTTGTATGTTGCACTTTAAACAAAATATTTTAACACATTTTTCATGCAAGAATGTTCCTCTAGATACAGAATTTACTGCCATTGACAGTCACTGCAGGGAACACAACAAAACAAAAGCCTAAAAATATTTAATTTCTCTGAAAATAATTACATCTTCATTAATTCCACTAAATAAAATGTTCCAGGAGAAGAAATAGCAGGGGAGTCTGATTAAGGCGGACTGTGGTAAGAAAGGCAGGCACCCCATGTGAGAGATTAAAGACAGCGGAGAGATGGAGAGAAGGAGACAGCTGTTTGACTCGATTTGTCCTGCAGCATGACCTCATCTCCGGGGGGGGGGCAAAGATCGGACCTGTGCCTGTCCGGCGGGGAAGAGGCACTCGGCGATCATAAAACTGACTCACATTTTGACAGCAAATCAAGGTGGTGAGAAGATACAGAAAAATAAAAAAACACAAAAGTGGGCAGTATTTTAACGAGTCTCCGCTGCCCAGGAAAGACACTTCAATCAAAGCTTCTAGCAGCATCTGCAGAGATGAAAGCTGACTGTGGTGTAATGAGCGCCACCGAGATCTCAGCACCCTTAACCCTGCCGCGGTCTGGCCTCGCTCTTTTGAGAAAAGCAGAGGTGGAGAAAGCCGAGGTACTCCCCCCCCCCCCCCCCTAAAAATACTCACCCAAAAATAAAATACTCACCCTAAACATACTCGCCATTCCCCACCCCATCCCCTGTTCAAAAACCACTCCCCACCTAGAGGTATAGCGTCAGGACAAGCAATGAAGGAAACTGCCTGGGCCCCCAGGCTGGAGGGGGGCCCTTCAGGGGCCCCAATTACATAGTGCTTTGCCATGCAGGATCTGCTGTATTTGTGTATCCAGCTTTTCACAAAAAGTGAAAATAAAGGACCCGTCAAATTCTCTAGGTTGACATGTTGATTTAGACTTAATAATAGTAAATTTTTTTACCATGTTGGGGGGGTATTATGGAGTATTATAATTGCCTCTGTCGCCAATTGTGCCCCCTCCCTGTGGTAATCTCGGGCCTGTCACCAACACCACATCCCAGTACCATCACCTGCCGCCCGAGACTCTCCCCCGAGTCCCTATACTGACGCCCTCTTGGCCAATCAGAGCACAGAAAGTGCCTGATTAGCCCAGCCTCTTCAACCCAATCAGCGTGCCCATCTGGACAGCGGGTGACCCGTGACAAACCACCTGACCTGCTTCTCTGCCGTGCTGCACCCCAACGACCTGCGCCCCTCATCTGCAGCTGAGCCCCCCCACGTCACACACTCTGCCCACCTGAGCCTCGCCGGCTCGGCAGTAAATAACCGACGCCGTAACCGCGGGTGGAATAACTGTCCCCTTTTCTCAGCCTTTGACTGATAAGCAGCGGCCCTGCTCTCCCTAGAAGGGGGGGGGGGCAGCCATGTTTCTCGAACCCGAGAATCTAATCAGGGCCACCAAAGGGGGTGTCACCCACCCCCTCACCTGGGAATTAGAGTTCTTGAGCTGGAGCTGAAGCCGTTCTCCCCGGCCGGATAAGGAGGCTTTTCCAGAGAATGCTGAACGCTAATGCTCCGGGATCGCGGGGCTGAACGGGGGCGAAACGAGAGTCCAGGATGCATTGTGTGAACACAATGGGCAGGGAAACGCAGAGTGGCGGCATGTGGGCCAGCAAGCACACTGCGCCCTGCAGAGGAAGCCCAAGAATCTTATCTCCATTCCACATGACCTTGTGCAATTTTTCCACAAATAATGGCACTATTCACAAATAAGTACAAAAGCAACGTAAACAGGAAGTGTGCAGTGACACAATTAAGTCCTTGAAATGCCTCCCTTGGTATTGTGCTTGTATTTTTTTGTTTGTTTCTCCGCAGCGTCAGAGAATACGAGGCTTTAGCCGATCCGGCTAATCCGTCAGCGCCGTGCAGCTAAGCCCCAAAACTCCGCATTATTCAGCTAGCGCTTTTGGAAATCTGGAAATTTCCGCCTGCTCTGCTTGGGTGGGGCTGGAATCGCTACCTGCAGCAAGGACTGTGGGGGGAAGTGAGGAAGAGGATGGATGAGGGGCAGGCGAGAGGGAGCCATGCCGTGCGCATCGAAAATTTTTGAGTGCCAGGTGCTCGACCGGGGGGAGGGGGGGGTGATTTTGCATGAGCGAAAACGGGCACTCTGACCCTCAAAAGTGAAGCACTTTCAATAGCAAAAAGAAGCAAGCGTGATGAGTTTGAAAGCCAGCCTCCTTCTGGCGAGTGACGGAGATATATCTGCATGCATTACAGGACGGGGGCATTTGGGACCGAGCTGCTGATGGCTCATTTCCACTCACATTCAATTTACTAAGCTGGGGCTTTTATGCTTTTTTTTTCCAGCCAGTCACGGGAGGGGGAAGGGGGGGGAGGGGGGCGGTGGTGGTGAAGGGCATTGCTCAGGGGCCGAATAGTGAAATCACTCAGCCAACCTGGGGATTTGAACCAGCAAACATGTAACCACAGGAACGGCATCCTAATCCACTGAGCTACACAGTTTGATGGTGGAAGTAGGATAACAAGCCCACCCAGAGTGACCACACCCACACCACCCAATTGAAGAGCTGCAAGGGAAAGAGAACGGAGAGGCGGCATCAGCAACATCACCATCACTGTTCCCCTTCCTCCCCCACGCCTTGGGGTTAAATGCCCAGCCCTTTCCAACACAGAGATAATTGGGATTGGATCGCACCTCTCCGACACCCCCTTAAGAGCAGCATGGGAAATAAATAAAGGAAAGATAAACAAGTGAAAAGAGCAAGGGATACGCGTGCCTCCCCACCGGAACCTGGAAGCCTGTTGCCCCCCCCCTCCCCTACACCCGTAGCCCCAGCTAGCGGCCGGTAGACAGATGTCCCACTGCGGGGATCATCTTACCCGCTGGGCAGTGCTCCAAGCGCACTGGCAGGCCGCTCATGGATAAGCCCAGTGCTGGGTTAACAACCGGGAATGGTGCTCTGTCCTCACCCCAGGATCTCACCCCAGGATCTCAGCCCAGGATCGGAGGGAGAGACACGAATAAACTTTACAGAAGAAAGCGTGTGACTCATTATTCATGGCTGCTGATTTCCGAGCGACCCAGGTTTGAAGACGAAGGCTCCTTCCTCTTTAGACTTGTCTGATTGGCTGACAGTGTTCCAGTGAGGTGGGACATGATGCTCACGCCTGCAAGAGGCACCCTACCAGGTGCAGCTAAGCTTCTATGCAGGCAACTCGCTGGACGGCCAAATAGAACCATGGGTCCTCGCTCCGTAACCCCTGCTTCATTTTCGATGGCTAAGTTTGTCTTACTACCCTAATTCGAAAATGAAAGAAAATGTAGGAGAGGAGAGACTAGACGTCGGGGAGAACAAGAGTAAGGTGTTCTTCTGCGTCAATCCCACCAGCTACATTAACTTTAACACGTCAAAGCAATTAATACTGCTACAGCATACATCATTAACCAGCGTTGCCAACAAAGCCAACGCTGCCCACAGCTTGACACAATTTTCCAAACAATGGAGTTAAGTACCCCGCTTGGCATAGTGATGCACGCAGTAATCACGTTAATAACACGGTGCATTAATAACCATCATTTAAGGCCCTCCTGGGTTCCGGAAGTTACTTCCGCCAAGTGCGTTGCCGTGTGCTGATTGGACGGCTGGGCAGAGGTGGGGAGGTTGTGACTCAAACGGGCTCCCCACCTTGCCTGCCTGCTCCTCGTCCCGCTACGGAATCCTCCAAAGGACAAAAAGTCCTTAACTCAGGTACCCCTGACACAGACAGGCGGATGCGTTCTGCATTTGGGCTCAGATGCTTTTTCTGTCCTGCATTCAGAGATTTTACAGGAACTTGTCGCCTCAAGACTTTCTTTTTTTTTTAATCGACGCGAGAAGCTTTTCGGCAGTGAGAGGTCGTCCAGAAAACTGTCTCTTTTTTTTTTATTTTCCTCAAGAGAGGACAGAGAGGAAGGAATATATAGAGAGAGATAAACAGAGAAGGAGGGAGAAAGAGCCACTCCCCTGAAGAGGCGGGAAATGTTTATGTTGTTACCATCACCATCTGGCCACAAAGTCTGATTTACATCACATTCACACATCCGACGGCCCTAAATGCAGCCCTGGGCTCTGCCGCCGTGCCAAAGACATGCCGTCTTCAGTGCCCCAGTAGCACCCGCCAGCGCGGGAACATTACACTTCGCTAATCATTGCTAATTATCATTTTAGATATCATACCAGGTTAGTCTCATTCCTGTTATCCGGTTTCCTGTTGTGAGTGACGCTCTTTCGAGATGGGGGGGTCGCTGACTAATCACAGTTTGATCTCTTGGAAAACTCTGAAGTCTGAAAAGGCCTCGCAGTTTGACCTGCTCATTGGATGGTACAGACCGTGCAGCTGATTGGCCCCCTGCCCTGTCACTCAACCATTCAAAGCATTTCTCGATAAGCAACCGAAAGCTGCAAAAGTCATCCATCCACCCATTTCCTGAAACCGCTGAATCCGAACTGGGGA